AAATATATCTTACGTAAATATATTTATGTGTTTTGTATTTTATTTTTAATTATCAAAAATTAATAAAAAAAAAAAAGGATTACAATACATATATCATTTGCATATACTTAATTGAGTTTATATAATAATTGTTTTCTGGTATATATTGAATAATGGGGTAATTTATGTTTTATCAAAATTACTAAAGAAGGAATTATAATAATATATAAAAAATTACTACTTACATGTTACAATTAAAATTAATCCCATATTTAAAAAAACGAAATCCATTTAAAATAAAATATACATCGATGAAAATAATATGCATAATTAATAAATCTTATCATTTAATTCATATATAATTTAAGAATAAAATAACAGATTTAATAAATATAATAAAATTAATTATTCCATGATTTCTTTATATTTTGATGATAAAATAATTTATATACTCTATAAATTTTACACTAAATATGTACCTTTTGATAAATGATGGTAAATAAAAGAAATTTTATTTATATTTTTGGGGATTTTAATAAAACGTTTAAGTAAAATAGTTAAGGTTATTAAAAAAAAAATTTTTCATGAGAACAAATCATAATAAAAATTTTCATTTGTTAGACTTTTTTATATAATAAATGTAATAAATATACCTCTAATAATTTTATTTCACATTCAAAAATCTTTATTTGCATTAATCATAGCATAATAACATTGAAATAATACTCATAAAAAGTATAAATATTATATATATTAGACGTTAATTCTAAAACTGGACTTTAATAATGTATAATAAAAAAGAAAATGAATTCAATGTGTTCTAAAATTAATGCTTTAGCACTACTTTTTTTTAGGGATTAAAATATATTCATGTTCTATTTCAACATTAATCTATATTGGTAAATAAACGTGTTTCAGTTGTTAATATGTATTAGATCGTTTTTAAATATTAATTATGGGATTTTAATTGATTTCGTATAAATTATCCTTATGCATATCAATAGAATTAAAATTTTATTTAGGTAAAATAATTATTTAAGAGGCTTACACTAATTCTCATAAAAATAAAAATTTCCTTTCAGAATCTTATATTTTTATACTTAAGACATTGAGTATAATATTATTAATGAAAGTATGTTAATGTCAATATAATAAGAACATTTTTATAAATTATTTCATTTTTCTAATATGCTTTATATAAGAGAATATCATATAAATGTATATTTATAAATTATATATACGAAAAGTTGCAGTATTCATACAGGTATAATTGAAGTAATAATGTATTAAAATTAAACAATTATATATATATAATTTAATAATCGTAATAATCATTATATGTCGTAGTTCAAATACGCTAAAGCATATGAAATAAAAAGTTAAGACTTATCATATTCACATATCAAATATTTTTTATATAATAACACATATTAATTGTAATCTAATAATTGGTATTCATAAACTACTCTCTTAATAAATTCTTATATAGAATAGAGAAAATATATTTTAATAATTAAAAACAAAGTGTTCCATTAGACATTTTGCATTCTATTATGTATAAAATAATTTACCTATAATATATTATTTATATATATGAATTCCTTATCTTATGCTTTTATATATGTAATACTTCTTCCTTATGTATTTATATATATGCATATATTAATAAAAATGTAAATAATTTTAAGAATAATTACAAAATATTCTATATATTAATTGATATATATGATTCTTACGTAAGATAAATCAAAATAACCTTGTAATTTATATCGTTACAATAAAAATATTAGTATTCAAAATATATGTGTAATTTTAACTATTTTTAATATAGTAAACTGGTTGTAATATATATTAATAATGTATACAATTATTATTTTTTTATCTTGTATGAAATATAAAATTTTAATTCATTTATAGTATCGTAATATATATAGAATATGAGGGGAAAAAATAAGTGTATAACTTCAATTAAAATTATTTCACTCATAGTTCTGTTATGCATATGCCACCATTATGATGATGATGTATATTAATTATGTATATAAATATTTTATATATTTTGTTATATTAGTTATATATAAAAAAAAATTTACCCTATATTTAACTATATATTAAATTATATAAATATATATTATTTCTTTACTTAGGGCATATTTTCTAAATATTCTTTTAACACATTCAATACTTATAATACATATATTACAAGAACTGAACGAACACTGGCTATAAAGATATTCCAAAGTAAATATAAACAAGAAGCTTTAAAAGTTAATTTAAAACACTTTAACCCCAAATATACTATAAACAATGGTTCCCATAAAATATCCTCTATATACAAAGATATGAAATTGCTGGATGAATGTGTTCAAGAATTATTATTAGATCTACCTGAAAAATTAGATAAACATGTAGTAAAAGATGAAATAACGAATAAAACATTAGAAAGAGCCCTATTTAAAGATTACCCTATAATCCATGTTATTCCATTAAGTAGAAGAATTGCTACTATATTGTATGATTTTACTAGGAAAAAAATACATGAGATTGCTGTTCATTCTATATATAATTCTTTAGTTATTATTTTAACATATAAATGCAATTCAAATTTATACGGTAAATATACAGAGTTAAATAATATTGCATTTCTTACTATAGTGGTTATATGTTTATCACAAATATTATATAATATCGGAAAATTTGATTTTTTAAAAAAATATGAAACTCCTGAAATGAGAGAAAAAGAATTAGCCAAGGAAAAAAAATGGGAAATTAAAAAAAAAAGAGAACAGGATGTGTTAAAATATAAAGAAATAAAAAAACATGGAATAAACGATTTGGACACTTACATGCAGTACTATAAGCAAAGATATTATAGTAGGAAAGGATTAGGAAAATTTGACAGTTATTGTGAAAAATATGTATTTGATAAGATTCATAAAATAGATAGAATTGCTGAATGTAGTAAGAGTTACAATAAAAAATTAAAAAATAATTTGTGTATAAAATACTTATTTTATACTATTTCCCCTTGTTTATTTCAATTTTTTGTAATAATTGCCCCGGTTTTAGATAGAATTGAAGGCCTTCAATTTGAAGAATATAAAAGAAGTTCAATTTTAGGTACATATGTGCCAACATCAGTATCATATATTTATATTGCACTTTTTGTACTATTATCATATTTTATTTTAGCATCAATTGCTTATATAATGATAAAAGTTGTAAAATATGAACGACTAAAATCAAGGAAATGTAAAATGAATTTTAAGGAATATTGTGCTTTTTGCAAAGAAGTGTTAATTAAATAAAAATTTTTAAAACGTTCTTACAGTTATTAAAACATGATAGAATATCAATAATGGAAAATATATTATATGTGGATAAATATTACTTAGTTCATAACAATATTATATATTTTTTTTTATCTTTTTATTTAGAATTATATCTGTTTTAGCCTTGAATTTCTTGTATAATATATATATTAGATTTATATAAAAATTTATGTAACACAAGTATTTTTATATATTTATCTAAATAATTTAGACTTTAGATTTCAAGGTTCATTATTTTAGGAATATTTTTATTATCATGCATATCCTGACGTTTGCATATTAATAATATAAATATAGATAATTTATATCGAATTTATATACTTAGTATATATATATATATATATAATTTTTTTAAACATAATTATTAGAATACAATTAAAGCATGGTATACATGATTTTATATGTACTCTTATATATAAATTATATGAAATTATGAGCAAATTATTTTTATGGTAAAGTCATATATTAGAACAATAGATAAAATAACATCATGAATTATATATTTTGTATTTTACATATATATATTTCTACGAAGCTATTTCATTTAATGAAATTTTATAAATATTTAGTAAAATAAAGCAGAATTCGCACAAAATATTTATTTGCGGATAAAAAAATTCATTTTCTTTGCTATCCTATTATTATTAGTAATGAAATTGATTTTTACATGTTTTATAAATATTACTCTTTTTTATGAAATATTTGAAACAAAATTATAGTTGTTCACTCTTCCTTAAAGATGTATTAGTATACAATATAATATTAGTAAAACATTTTTTGTGGATAATCATGCATGTAAAATAAAAATTATGTGAAAATAATTATCTCTATTGGGGAATATACTACAGTAAATATTTCCTGAATTTTATTTACACAAGTCGTTTGATTTGTAATTCTATTAATAAAAAAGAACTATATAAGCATATTAATAGTAAAATATTTTACAACAAATATTATAATAAATTTTATAATATTAATTTTATATACATGAAGACATATTTGAATGAATAATTTTTTAAATTATAAATAAATAAATAATTTAAATTATTTCATAAGAATTATAACATTCATATAATCTATGAATAATTGTAATATATAATTTTTTTTTACACTAATTAGCGTATGTTTTATATTTCTCTGTACTAATTTTAGCAAAAACATATTTTTATTTTACGAGAATATTATAATTATTGCTAATTTACATGATCAAAACAAAGGTAATTTATATCGTACTTTTTTTTTTTTTTAATTAAAATCATGTATACTTATCCTATTATATCTTCGTTAATAAATTATCTTAATGAAGAATCATATCATTCTTTAATAATACGATATGAAAATATTATACAGATAAATTTCACTTTTTTTATTCGTTATAATTAATATAGGGTATTATATTATGGAATATAAAAAAATATAATATGCTTAGACGAATTACTTATATTATATAATATACAGAAACAATATTAGTAATGATGTATTAGGAAAATACTTAAGAACTCATAAATACAATAATCTATCTCACTGCAGAAATATAAATTATACTTATATAACAATGTGAAAAAAATATTTAATACATAATTTTTTCTGTATATTTTTATTTTTGCAATTATGCACAGAACCTATATAATCTATTTAATATATATTCCTTTTGTAATTGTTTAAATTATACGTTAAATTATATAGCTCAACATAATATGTATAAATATTATTAAGGTATCCAATAATTATTATGTATATGAATTTAAAAAACAAGACATATTATATATTCAACCTATAAATTGCTATTCCTGAAGGATATATAAGTTTTTTTTAATTTTTTTGCTATATTTCATATGTATTAAAGATACAAATATTGTAATTTAAAATTTTGACAAAAATAAAAAAAATAAAAATCAAAAGAATTTTTTATTAAAATATTTTTTAAAGACATATTATAATATACAATAATATGCAGTGTGTTTATGTGTATAATTTTTACAAAGGATATAAATTAAGGATAAAATTGAATAAAATATGTATATTGTACACACTATACCTACAAAATATAGGATATATAATAATAAATTTATATTTCGTGCAATTATTCATTGAAAATTAAATGCTTATTAGAGTTTTAGAGATTAAATTTTGTTCTTTTTTTATGGTGTGCGAATAGTTTTTTATCTTCACTATTAAACATATATATAATTTTTTTTACATATCTTTTCATATGTAAAATATGTATAAGAACTTTAGCATAATGCAGAGAATTTTGAAAATATATTATTTTGTTAAATTTCATATTAATTATTGAAATTTTTATTAGGTTCTTTTGTAATATATGATATATTACTAATAGCATTTGTTTAATTAATTTAATATATAATGTTTCCTTTATACATATTATAAAAAATTGCTGGAATAATACACTAATACTTCAGGTATAAATTTTATTAATATGAATATAACGCTTATATTAATATGAAAGGAAGAATAAATATGTGAAAAATAACATAACTAATAGTTTGTTTTTATGTAATTGTTTATAATAGCTTGTTCTAATACATTATATATATTATAATCTAGTAAATTAGACCGATATATTTCTATACAATATTTTACATTTAAGCAAATTGATTACAAGCAAAGACGCAACTTAATTTTTATGCGATGATATATCATAATATAGATTATATATTTTTAGTTTTATTACATAATATTTGTTTAATAAATTATTTCATATTGAGCATTAATAATATAATTAGCATAAACAAATCTAGTGTACAATAAATATGTAAGATATATATGAAAAAAATATTTTACTATAAAATAATGCTTCAATATAGAATATATTATTGTAGAGAATAATGATGTTTGATATTACATGCTAATGTATTTTAATTATTAAATAGTAAGAATTGTAAACATATAATTCATGAAGATATGTATATAATATTAGAAAAAGTAAAGAATTTAATTCATGTAATTTGCAAATATAATATAAAACTTATGTATATTTATTTCATTATATATTATGTTAATAATTTTTATGCTAAGTACATTAGTGCATAGTGTGTAATAACGCTTACTATAAAACTATTATATAATTATTAACACAATGAAACTATGCAAGAAGTTGTATAAAAATACATTAAATTAATTAATTTCTCCTAACAGTTATGTATGAGTATAATATTATAAACTAAAAGAAAATACAAAAAACTATAATAATAATAAATAACAAAGTACTGTACACATATTTCCGAGCCTAAAGGTCTTATTGGAATAAATATATGAATTTCTTGATCTTACATATATTTTTTTTAGCTATAAAAAAAAAATTATATATAAAATGACATTTATCTAATATATACAAAAATAAAAAATATATTTCAAATGAACAATTATATCTTATTCAAGAAAAAGAAGAAAAATGAAATAAGTAATTAATTTTTATATACTATTTATAAATGTTACAGTTATGCTATATTTTTCTTATTGGTTAAAAATGCGTATGTGTTTTTTTATATTTTCAGGGAAAAATATTTAATTTTTTTGTTGCATTTAAATCCATATTACATTATATATAGTATACTTTTAAGAGCATTATATTTTGATACTTCGTCCGTTTATCTTAATTGCAAAATATATTACATATTATATAGATATATATAAATTTTATTGTACTATAATAAATCATTGTGAATGTGTGGTCAATTATTAAGGAATTATCATTATATTAAATTTCTGTAATAAGGAAAAAAGCAATATACAATATATTTTTTTATAAATAAAAGGTAATGAATGAATAACTACATAATTCGTCATAAATAATATTATAGAAAATGTAATAATTGTGCTAAATAGAATTATAATAAAATAAATGTTATAATTGATATATATAATATAATAATCCTAATTAATATGTATCTATTTTTAAAGTTTTATAATTTATATATAAAAATATATTTCCTTCTCGTATTATCTTAAAATATCTGATATAGTTTTACATGAATTATTATGGCAATGCGTGGTACATGTTTGAAAATGATTGAATAATAACTTTCAATATCAAATATACAGTTTAAAATATATTGTAACATAAAAGCGAATGCTAATAATTCTTTTAAATTAATTATATTTTTTTATTTATTCAATAGAGTATAATATACATTAAGGTTATTTAAAATTATAATTATTTCCTTTGACATAAAGAATGTATATATATTTAATTCATTTAATATTAAATAAAAAATTTAAAGAAATATAATATATAATAAAATAAAATACAACTTCTTATATAATAATCAACAACGAATAATATATAATTATTTTAAGATATATTAGACTTTTATATTAAGATAAAAATTCTTGTTTATTTCATTAAATACTTATATATTATGTAGATATATATAATAAATTATTACAGAATAAAATTACTTAATTAATAAATAAAATTTTATATAACACATTTCATTGTAAATATTTCACTGTAACTGAACTTTGGGGATATGCGCATTTATAATTAATTATATTGAGGTTTAATATATATATTAAGATGTTTCATAATAGAATACACAATGTAATACGCTAATAGTAATAAATCTACAATAAATAATTATGTCAGAAGATTATATATTAAATTTAATTAAAAAAAATGTAAACTACAATAATAAATAATCCTTTTCAATTAAATATATAATAATTACAATAACATTTATAAACCATAGCTCTTTATACAATTATATATATAAATTTGTTATAACTATATTAAACCTCCTTTGACTCAGTAAATATATTTTTAAATGTTATAGTTTTATATTATATCTTTATTTTAATATAATTTTTTAGGAAAACTGCAGTGAGAACAATGAAGAATGTAAACTACAACTTTTTAAAGATTTGGATGATGAGGTAGCCCAGATTAGTTGTGAATCATACGGTTGTTCAATAAGAGAAGTTATTAAAGAGAGTGTTATTAATCTAGAGCTTAAAAAATTTTATACATTTTTTTTTAATAACTTTTTTGACATAGAAAAATACAGTGAAAATGCATGCGCTTGTTTGGGTGCATGGATCCAGAAGAAAAAAAACGATTATATAAAGAGTGATACAATAATGACTGAAATGGCATCATGGGAAAATAATATGGAAAAACTCTTTAATTTTATAAAAGAAACAAATAGTAATGAGCGTAATAAATTTTGTGAATGGAATTCTACTGTATCACAATGTATATTATCAACAAAAACACAAAGTGTTTCATTCGATACACAAGCAAGATATACAAAAACATTTACATCAATCCCAAAGATTCCTCCTAATTCATTTAAATCATCAATAAAAAATGTTTTCTTTGTTTGTTTTATACTTTTAATAATCTTGCTTCTTACTTTTATTTTTCTAATTAATGTAATTTAAAAATTATTGCATAAAATTATTTGTATTTTTGAAGAAATATATAAAATAATGCAAACTTAAAAAAATTAAAATTATTTATATTTTTGCACATTATATTAATTCACTTATATAAATAGTTAGGTAAAATCCAAAAATTTTTATATAATACGTGGAATGTAAAATTTTTGATAAGTAATTACAGAAAGAATAGTCACCAATTTGAAAATTATGATGATTTTCCTTTTGTTTCAGAAAACGAAAGATATAATATGCATTATATGCTGGAAAATAATTCTTAATTATAATAAATTTTTGTATAGTATATATGATTTTATAATATTATAAGGATTATATATATTCCAGAAGAATTTGCCTTCTAGTAGATAAAAATGACACATAAAAAAAAAATATCCTGATGCATACAATAAAATTAATGAAATATTGAAGAAAATTACAAATATATATTCTAGTTTAGAAAAAATAAATGTTGTTACAATATAAAAATAGGACACATATTTGCAAATTAATGTCATCCCAACTATTTTAAAAATGATTTAATATGGAAATGTATTTTAACTTAATTTAATAATAAATTGGTAATATAATTTGCAATTTTTTTAGACAAGTTACATTACTTCCTTATATATAATAATAAAATCATATTTAAATTTATTTTTGATTCCTATATAATCTTAATTTAATGGACATATTTATATGTCAAAGAAAATAAAGACACTTCTTGATAGATGTTATTAATGAACATATGATTAATTTAACTTATTTAATATATGAAACATTCATTTGTTGAAAATTTAATTAATCAATGTTTATCATTTTCTAATACTTGTATGATGTTTTACATAATGAATAAGGAAGTGAATACAAATTCTAATAATTGTTCCATATAATATATGTACATCTACAAGAATATTTGTAGCAACAGTGACATATTGAATTGTAGGATAAAAAAACATTTTGTATTATGAATATTAGTATTAAATTCTTAATTGTTGTCACATAATATGTTGAAATAATTTGAATAATACAATACATACAAATTTTATTAACTGAAGAATGTATTATAGTGTTTTGATAGACTATGTATTCTGACATTATTATAAATATCATTATATATATAAAAAAAATATATTCTACATATATAAGGACATAGAAAAAATGAGGTTATTAAATAATAATGAAAATATTATTGAATTAAAAAATTAGTTAATCAAAAATATACTTAATTGTTTCAGTGCAACTAATAATATATGTAAATTTTATTATGCAATTTCTATAAAATATTACTATACTAAAAATAAAAATTGTTATATTTCATTATGTAAATGTAAAGAATGTGTTTATATAATTCATGATATAACAACAACATTATATTTAGCGTTTTTCATAATGTCTTTATTATATACTCGTAACCCATATAATATATTTTTTTTTTTTATTATGTATGTTATAAAAGCTGAACTTTTATTTCAAATATATAGATAAGGCTTATTGAAATATATTTCACTTAAATATTGAATATGTTAAATAAGCGTATAGTATATTATCAATAATTGTCATAGAGAATACATTATATTATTCTTATAAATATCGTAATAATTAAGCAAAGTGTACAAAATATAAACTATATAATGATGATAATAAGGCATTCATTAGACATATGTTATTTACTCATAATAAGTTCCTTAGAAAATATATTGTGTATATTATATCAGTCATATTAGATAACTTTGCTAAATGTTTATCTGATATGAAAAAGCAATATATTAAAACATATAAAAATTATAAAATTATTTAATATGTACGTAATTATTAGAACCTAATTGCCTATGTAAATTGTGAATTATATTGCCCTATTATTAAAAACTAAAGAAATGTCTTATTTACTATAAACCTAATTTTAAAATAATTTAATTAATATATATAATTTAATATATTTTAATTTCAAAATATAATTTATGTTTGTTAAAACTAGAATATATGTTTATAATTCTTTTTGTGTGTGTTTTTTTTTACATTTATATTTAATTTAAATTTTTTTTTCTTTTTTTTTTATGTATCAATTTACAGATATTTATCTATTTAAATATTCTTGAAATATGTGTTTTCAATATAGTATTATAAAATACACAATATTTTGTAGTATTTTAATTAAGAATAATTATGGTATATGTGATGTATATTAATTTTTTCATTTGATTAAATAAAGGAAAATCATCATAATTTCCAAAATCATTATATTATTTTCTGTATTTCCTTATAATTATCTTCATCATAAATTTATCGTATAAAAATTATTTGATTATAAGAAATGCTTATTGTAGATAAATTAAGAATATATATAAGAAAATAAATAATATCTGTATTTTTTGGAATAAAGTATATTATATATCTCATATAATTTATACATTAATTTTAATATCAATTTTCATATTACTTTAATTAGCAAGGAAAAACTAGTAAGAAATATTACCAAAAGTGAAAGAAAAAAACCAAAAAAACATATTTTATCAGAGAAGAGTATGATGTTACTAGGAATTTTCTAAGCGATACACTTTAATCTTCATGTACTGCTGGTGATCTTGATGAGTTACCTTGCATACTTTGTAAAATAATATCTTCATATACAGAAGATTCCAATTTACCAAAAAAATAATTCGTATATATATTAATTTCATATAAATTATTAGATAAAATTTTTATATGTGTATTCTAAAATAACATAACTTCCTTTTTCATGAGATTTAATGTGAAATCATATTTTATTTTTTTTGTACACACTGTTTCAAAAAATCAAATTCATTCATTTCATATATGTATATATTAAATATGTTATTATATAAAAATGAATAAAAACTATATAGATATAGATATACATGATCTGTAATAATACATAATATACAATATACTTGATAATATATTTTATATAATTCACTATACAATTTTTTAAATGACTACACTTTACATTCATGATTTCCACCACTACTTTCTTCCTGAATTATAGTATAAAAGAAATTAATAAAATATAAAAATGGCATTTTAATGTTTATTAAAACATCAGTAAACTAATTAAGAAAACAAATATTAATTCATATATGTAAATGATTATACGGTTATTGTTTACCATTCTGTTATTATTATAAATTTAGTTGAATAAGATCATTAATTATTCTAAATTAAACATAATTTATATAAATTCTGTATTTTTTCATATGTTATGTGTAATTATTAAATATATATTATGAATATTCTTTTTTTAAAATAATTAATTATATAAAAAATATATATATATTCTGATTAATTTAATTTATAATAAGCGCATTTCAAGACAATAAAAAGAATATATAATATATATAAATATATATAATATATAAACTATCATTTTAAGTCATATATTTTTTTATTGTAACAGTGATATTTCTAGAATATTATTCAAAATTATTTTCCAAAAAATATGAATTATAGTCAAATTAAAATATACTATGAGGAATAATATAATTATGTAAAAATAAAATAAATT